TGCTTCCCAGTGCCAAACCCTTAGCATGCTGCTGATCATTTTAACGGGATCCCTTGTGATCGAGGCAACAGCAGCCTAAGCAATGCAACAGCATTAGGCACCACCTCCTTTTATTAAAAGAAAGCAGGTGCAGCTTCTTTTGAAAGGCAGAAGGAGAACTCCCACTCCAGCTCTATGCCAGGTGAGGCACAGGAGCACTCCCCCCATCACAAGCCCTCGAGCAGGCAGAGTTTCACCAGGTCTGCATGGCCTCATCTTGGGAAGGGGAAGCTCTATGGCAGGAGATGCTTGCACTGCTCCAACTCCGTGGCAAAGCTAAAGCTGTGTGCTTAAACAAGGGCTGTGTTGCATTTGTGGTTTCTAAACAAAAACTGTCTCTTATCTCAGTGCAGTGTTGGCTCTCTGGCATCACCTGACATTCCCTGGGCCCTCTTCTGGTTTGAAATCTCAAAATCTGGCCAGAAGGATCTTTCCCCGGGGTGGGAGATGAGTAAAAATCTCCTTCCCCTGCACGTGTGCACCCTCTCACCCTAAATCTTGGCACACCAAAACTGGCAGTGAGACTTCTGAGTGCTGAGCTCACCTTGGAGCATCACCTTTCTGCGCTCTCCTGCACTGCACCCATCACAAACCTGGTCCCTTGGGATGGCCTCACTCCCTGCACAGGAAGCCCAAGGGAAAAATAAAACAGATTGGATGAAAAGGAACAGAAACTGATATAAGCTGCAGAGGTGCAGGGGGAGCACTTGGTATGGGAGGCACTCCATGGGGTGCCCCATGTCAGGGCTACAGGGCTGAAGGGACGTAGAAGTGAAGCCTTTTGTTTCCCCACGCCTGCTGACCCACGTTCCCCATCTCCAACCCTACTTTCCGGATTGTTTTCATGCTTTTGTGGGTTCTTTTTTTTTTTTTTTCTCTTTTTCAACTCCTATTTTCTGCATCCTTAACCTGATCCACCCCAGGGTGAGATCAGGGAGAGGAGGGAGAACAGGAGCCTCCCGAAGACACAGACAAAGCACAGCTGAAAGCCCTTCAAAGCACCGCCTGCAGCACGTGGGAGAACTTCCCTGAAAGTCCTCCTGGCTCCGTTACTGGAAGGGCCAGGCTGGGAGCATGGGGTGTTGCCCTCAGCACCCTCCTACACCCAGGCATGGAAACACTCCTGGGCTGCACAGAGCAGCAGACAATTGCTTCTTTCCAGGCTTTGTCTTGTCTACAGTAAGGGATTTGTCCTTCCTTTGATAACGGCCAGAAGTCATTTGTATTTGGAAGATGCTGTGATGCCAACAGAACGCTCTGATCGACTCCTCGCCCGTGGCAGATCCTGCTTTGGTGACACACACATGACACACAGGCAGCCCGAGGGACACGCTGCCATGGGAAGTGCCAGTTCCAAACTGCAAGTCCCATATTGCATCCCTCACGTCTGCCTTCCATCACGTATCAAAATAGCAAGCACAGCCCATCACTCCCACTTCAGCACAAGCAAAACATGTGGGGACTCGAGGCTGTTTGTAGGGAAACGTGATACAGCCTTACTAATAAAAGCTTCTCTTTTCCTCACTATGGCAAATAGTTGCAAATGCCATTCTGCAGCCTGAAAGCCTCTTGCTGCCAGCACAGTGCTCCAACCCCACTGCCTCCACTGTGATCCTGAATCCTGACCCACGGCTGCATGCACACACACCCTCATTAAACCTTCCAGCAGCTCACCTGTAGCACCAATGACACAGGCACCCTCATCTTACAGAGGATTTATTACTCTCGGTGCTGTTGCCACAGGTATCCAAGTTTGAATGCTGTTGAAAGCAGGCTTTCAAAGGGCACACAGACTCACCTGCCTCCAGGGAGAATGCATTCGCTTTGTTCGGGAGACTGTAACTTAAAATCTGTTACATGCACCAGCTTGTAACCCTTTGAAAAGCTCTCTGCTTCGCCAGCTTCAGATGTACTTCACGAACTTGCCCCGATCAAAGCAATCCCCTAACAGCCAGCCTTGTCTCCCAGTCTCCCCAGCAAAAAGGCACTGAACACATTTTGGGGGTGGATCTGCAGACCGGGAGAAAACCACCCCCCTTCTGAACCCACCTGAGAGATCCTGAGCACAGGAGCTCCCTTTAGCACAAAGCTAGAAAGAAAAGACATTGCAAAGAGACGCTGTGGTCTCTTTGACTCCCATCACTCCTCCTGTGTTAAATGTCAATGAGAAATGCTTATTTCCATGCCCAGCTCAGCACGCAGCTCCCTGCTAGGGGTGCAGCTTCAGTAAACACAGTGGGGCAGAGCCTTCAGCTTGGAGTGGTCCTCTGCAAACCACGAGATGGGGACACAGATGCAGCACAGGGATGACAAAACCCCATCCTTCTAGGAGTGAGATGACAGGCGCACGCTGAGCACCAGGGCTAAAATGCCAGCAGCAAACAGCACGGCCAAGGCTGGAAAATGCTTCTTGCAGCTCACAGCCTCAGGAAGGCCAACCTCCATGCTATAAATGCTGTGGCTGTGGCCTGCATGACGTCAGCTCCATCCTAGTGGCAATTGTTGGGTTGCGTCGTGCCAAAAAAGCGCAGAGCGGAGGTGCTGAATTGTCCAGGCAGCGGGATAGCTAAACCAGTTCCTCCCTGGTGCATTTGAGGACAGAAATGAGGGAAACAGTGGCAGAGCTTAAAATAAAACCAGGAGACAAATATAAAAGCAAAGAGATCTCGGAGCTGAAGGGCTTGTGTTAACACTTTTGAGTTTCCTGGCTCCGGAGTGCAGCAGGTCCCCCTCCCGGGGCCACCCACGCGCTCTGGGGCAGCCAAGGCACTTATTAATTGGGATTTGGAAAGGATTTAAACTTGGGGAGGTTTTCTCATAGCGCTGCATCTCTTTACTGACCAGCTGGGCTCGGGAAGTGAAAGCCTTCTCGTGGTGAATGGGGCACAGTGACGGGCAGGGAGCAGCGCACGGCTCCCACCACCTGCTGTTGCCCAAAGGGCACAGCCTGGAGCCTTGAGATCCTCAGAGGTAGAAAGTTAACAGCCCTGGGACTGTGGAGGAGGGAGATGAAGAGTGAGGGGCCACGAATTCACATTTCCAATGGTGGGCAGAAGCATGGAACATCGTTATTTGCGGCACGTCAGATAACATCGGTTTGTTATCTTGGGGTTGTTGTAATGATGAGATAGTGATGTTAAATTAAGCAAAACCAGTGCCCACAAACTATGAAAACCAGCCCTTGCCACTGTCTAGGACCTCATTTAGACAGCATGGATCCTTCCAGAAGCTGCACTGCACCCCTGCACACAGCACATCTCATCAGCATCTCCCTGCAGCTATTCCCCCAGCCAGCAAGAAATCCATCCTCAGACACCAGGGGTAAGAGGGAAGTCCCAAACACAGCTCCCATTCTCCGAAGAGCATTAAGGACAAAGAAGCTGAAGGGCAATGCTGTGGCTGCAGCAACCCAAGCCAGGCTGCAGGACAGAGCTGTCCCACGGTCTCCGGACGGGGACGGCAGCGATTGTGCAACCTCTGTTGTATAATATCAGCCCTCTGTTTTTATGAACTGCTCACAGCCAGATTCAAAAAGCAGCAGCCCAGAGGAAGGGTGGTGTCAACATTACCTTTCAGTCACCCGAAAGAAAAGAGAGGGGGGGGGGGGCAAAAAGAAAGGAAAAAAAAAAAGATTTTGTGCTGTTTCAGCGGCTGCCCAGCCAAGCAGAGGGGGGTCCAGTCAATGCATGGCTGCTGAGCACAGCCCTGCCTGCAGCCTCCCCTCTGGCCAGCCCTGTAGAGCCTGCAGCCAAGGCAGCCTCTGAGCAGGAAACGAATTAATGGGAGCTCACTCCAGGGCTGTTCTCTCTCATGTAGCATGTCTTGGGTGGATTGTTTGAACGGCAGAGGTCACAGGCAACATACGCACATGTCGGAATGCTTGCTGCGGAGCTCAGCTTCCATTTGGGTTATAAGCTGAGAGTTTCTGCCCTTGAATCTCCTCCCTTTCCTCCAGCGCTCATTCAATGGCTTACCTCCCTGAGAAAGTGTCTGCTCAAAGCCATCCTGACAAGCAGCTGAGCAGGGTGAAAGCTCTGTGCTGAAAGGGCACGGCAGAACAGGGCAGAGCACCCCTCACACACTGCACATCCCTGTGAGCCCCCAAAAGCTGCCCCCTCATTGCTCCCTGCCAGAAGTGGTCCCAAGGGTTGGACACAGGCACTGCTGTCAGCATGGCCAGGAGGTCCCCGGATAGCTCAAGTGAAGCTGGGGCTGAGAAGATCAAGTTTTATCCATCCCAGCTTCCTGCAGCGAGTGCTGCGTAGAACACAGCAGCAAAAGCCTGGCACAGTGCTGTCCCCAGATTCCCCACTTCAGCCCCAATTTAATCCCCACCATGCTCCTTTCTGACATCTGAAAGCTCTGTGCCCTTCAGTGAACCCTTTATCACAGCTGGCTGGGTTCCCAAACCCCTTTAAGGGATGGGGGGAGCCTCTTCCCTGCACATCTGCAGCCCAGTGGGATGGACTCAGCAGCCCAATGCTTGCATATGGGCTCATGCAGCAGCTTCACACAGCCCTGCTGCCACCTCCGTGCTGCCTGGGAGTGGGCGACCAGGAGGGCTTTGCAAAAGGAACCTTTGGGAACAGAGAGATCCATCATACCTGCAGCAGGGAGCTGAGCAGGGCAGACATCCCACACCTTTTGGACAGCAGAGCATCACCAAAGCATCTCCTCAGTGGTGTCCGTACACCCTGGAAGATTTTTCTCTGTACATCTGCAGACATGTGTTCATCTAAGCAGCTTAACAGACCAGCATAGACTGTCTGCCCAGCACAAGCCCTCTGCCTGACCATAGATAGTTGGGGCAACAGAGAACATCCCAAGAAACAGCAGCAAACAGCCACCAGAAAAACACACAGAACTACTGAACCCGCTCCATTCAGGGCTCTGGAAGCAAATACACATTTATTACTTTATGTTGTTAAGAAAAAAAAAGATAAAATTGAAGATGACAATACCTGATCCTCCAAACTGAGTGCTTGCTAGGGTCGTGGGTCTGTTTTTTCCATTAGCCACTGGCAGGGGAAACATCTAGAAAAACAGAAAGATGAGAGAGAAAGGAGATTTCAGTCTGTGAGTTTTGCTGTGCTGCTGCAAAGAGGGGGTCAACACCGGGCAGGGAGGGGAGGGCGGGATGAGGGGAGAAAAAAGGAGTGCTTTACTGATGCAAAAAACTTTCCTCGCGCCCCTGCTGCACACATCAGCTGCAGGAGGGCCAGGAGAGCAGCACAGCTGCGTGCAGATGCACACACACACATTCCTACGTGCACAAACTCCTGTGTACACAGCACGTCTGGTTCCTTAGGTGTGACTGAGAGCCATCCAAGCAGCATCAGAACCCACAGCTCCTTCCCCAAGTGCTTCATTCAGACCAAAGGGCACCCAACGGGGCTGCTTTCATTCATACAACACTCCCAGGGTGATGGGCAGCACCCGGCACAGAAGCATTTAAACCCACTGTGAACGACACGAATGCATTTGGCCAACTGGGCGGCGCTGGCTGTTGTTTGCTGCGCTGCTGCTGCCCTCATCCTCAACCAGGGAGCTCCCACCATCAGCAAACCTGCATGAACATTTGTGGTGCGAGCAGGGAGGCCTTCAGAAGCTGCTATTTAACATCTGAGATGCACCTGCGTGCAGCAGAAAGCTGATTCTCCTCCGCAGCCAATAAAACCAGCGGTGGGAAACGCCTGCTGAATTCACATTTTCATATCCTCTGCCACTCCAGTTACTTTCACCACCAGCCATTCCAACTGTTATTATTTTTCACTGTGCAATGTCTGAGTAACTCCAAAGTTTAATGCTCTGAACATTAAACGATGCAACGGCAGCAGAGCTTGCAGGAAGGCAGCTCCATACCCTGACATCACATCACTGCTCTCTGCCCATGGCCAGAGGAGCTGCTTCATACAGAACCAGCCCAGTTACAAACGTTGGTGAGGACAAAACACAGCTACACACAGTATGGATGCAAAGGGAGCAGTAAGGAAACCAACTGCCATTCAAAAAGCAGACATTTGGGATCATAGATATATATATGCACACTGCAGGCATTATACACACTTCACATAGAGGTGTGGGTGCTGTCTGAGCACACAGGGGCTCCCAGCAGCCCTGTACCCCCCCAGCTGCTGCCTGGGGTCTGGAGCTCTGGGGGGCCTCTGAGAGCCTGGCCCCCCACTGCTACACAAGCTTTGCTTCCTCAGGAAGTCGGGCTACAAAAGAAACCAACTCTGACAGCGCTGAGGCTCGCAGCCTGCCTCCCTCTGCAGTGCCACGGCGTTGTTTTCTGCAAATAGCTCGGAAAGGATGGAAAGCAGAACCTGCACGGCTGCCCCGAGCTGTGCCCACCTCCATCCCTGCTACGGTGCAAGAAAGCAAAGAGGTCAAAACCTCCTTTTCTAAGAGGAGGTGCCACACGTGTGGACGCACTGGCACAGGTTGCCCAAGGAGGCTGTGGATGCCCCATCCCTGAAGGCATTCAAAGCCAGGCTGGATGTGGCTCTGGGCAGCCTGAGCTGCTGGTTGGCCACCCTGCACACAGCAGGGGGTTGGAGCTGGATAAGCGCTGTGCTCCTTTTCAACCCAGGCCATTCTGTGATTCGATGCACGAGCACCGAGGGACGGGACGTGCAAACATCACAATCACCAGCAGTGAAAACACAACAGCAAAAAAGCACCACCGGCTCTTCGTCACGAGCGTTTCTGCTCACACGACTTGCTGATGCTGGCAGAGGAAGGCTTCGAGTGGAGAGAATGAGCAGCCTTGTTCCACTGCGCTCTGCAAAGCGGGGTCCCCCCCCGGGCAATCCCCAACCCGCAGGGATGCCCTCGCCCCCGCGGTTCCTGTCCTCCCCTCCAAGGGACCGCGGAGGAGGGAACCCCGACTGCTCGCTTTGCATCTTTTTTGAGGGCTCCCAGCATCACTTTTTGGTTTTTTTGGGGTGGCTGTTTTTGCTGCCAACCTGTTTTTCCACCGCAGTGTGGGCTGTGTGGAGCAGTGGGGCACAGTCACCCTCCAAGCGCCCGCCTGTGTCACTCGCAGCCCAGGTTCACCCACCCACAGCGAGTTTCCTTTCTGCTTGAAACTCAGCTTCAAAAATAAACAGGGGGAGGAAGGGGGAGGCTGGCACACACAGGGGGGGACCCGGCACAGCCTCCCAGGCTCCGTAATTGGGTCATTACAGGGCCTTTGTCGGATTTGAATCCTGTCGATTTAAGCAGTTGTGTGAAATCCCCCATGTTAAGTCCCCCCGTGCTGGATCTGACACTGCCAAAAGTGCGTCCTCGCAGCTCTGAGCCCACACTGCTGCCTTTATCACAGCATCATAGAACGGCCTGGGTTGCAAAGGACCACAACGACCATCTCTTTTCAACCCCCCTGCCGTGTGTGCAGGGTCACCAACCAGCAGACCAGGCTGCCCAGAGCCACATCCAACCTGGCTTTGAATGCCTCCAGGGATGGGGCATCCGCAGCCTCCTCGGGCATTTCTCCCAGATGCAAACCCAGAGCACAAGAAACCCAAACACTCAGGAAGTCCCAGCCCCCGCGCTCCCAGCGGCAGACTCGTAAGAAAGGGAATTTGCCAGACCCAGTCACAGCACCTCATTTATTGGGCACTTCCACCGGAGCATCAGTGTTCTCACATTAAATGGCTGTTCTCACTTCCTCTGCTCTCCCACCTCCCGAATCCGGGCTGCACCGACCTCAGGGCTGAGCTCCCAACCCTAGATCTATTTTGCAGAGTGGAAGGCATCCAGCTGCTGATGCGGGGAGAAGAGGGAATTCGCTCCCTGCCGCTGCCAGCAGGATATTTCAGACGTGCTCATTCCAGACAGACCTTCCTGACTGCAGCCCCAACATCCACAGCGGCGTAAGGCAAACCTCACTTGGAACAAAAGCAGCAGTTTTATCACGGAAACGCAGATGCTGTGCCTTGGCCAGAGCTGGGCACTGGGTGCTGCTGTGCTGCAGGAGCCGCTGGAATGCTTTGGGTTCACCCTCATCTCAAGGGTTGGATCGCTTGCTGGGTGACTGCTCACCCTCTGCCCACCCTCACCGAGTCAGAACCCCGCATCCTGCAGCATATGGTTAATACTCTGCTAATAATCATGGCTGTTAACAGTATTTCACTCCTGCCAGAGACCCAGGCTGGCACGCAGCCTCCTGCTGCTCTCCAGCTTGGCACTACGGGTGAGCCCCACAGCCAGGATTCCCACCCCACGGACCCCCATCCCCATCAGGGATCCTTCAGCCCTTCCCAGGACGTGACAACACCAGCAGCGTGGGGGCCAGGATGACCACACCAAGTACCTCCCAACACACACACACCATGTGCATCCCACACTGCAGAACAGAGCCTGGCAACTACTAGACCAAAAAAAAAAAAAATAATACAGCACCCAAACGAGCATCTGCAAAAAAAAAAAAAAACCAAAAACAAAACAGCACAGAGCTGGCAATGGGAATCAATAGGCAGGGTGCTTTCTTGAAGCTCTCCTCCAGATTTGCAAGCCCGCTCTGGACCATGGCCAGGGAACAGTGGTGAAAGCAAGCGTACAAATTACCTGCACTTTGGGGCAATTATAGAAAGCAATTTGTTCTGAGGAGGAGGGAAGCACTGCACGGTGCACAGCCCAGAGCTGCATCAGCCCTCCCAGCCACACGCTTGGCTCCTGCTCACCCAGATGCACATCACAGATTCCTTTGGTTTTTCACTCTCATTGTCAACTGATGGTGGTGGAAAAGCTGTAGGTGAGCGCTTTGCAGCTCAGTAATTACCTGATGTATTTATTAAAGAGTCTTAAGGCTATGAGCCTGTTCACACTGACAGCTCACAGCTCTGACCGTGCAGAGCCATGAGGCTCACTTAATGCACAGCACAGAGTGGGACCACAGCCTACAGGGGGTGAAAGGAAAGAAAAAAACAACAAAGAATCAAAGCACTGCTTTGAAGCAAAACGCCTCCAGCATCTCCAAATGCCTCCAGTTTTCCTCCATCCTTCATCAGTGGTTCAATGTTCCATTCCTGCTTATTCCAAAATACCCCATACGAATATATTTACATACACACATTTCTGAGTGAGCATTCTGGCCCCAAACCCTGCATCCCAATGACACAAAGCAACCCAGGACGCGGGGTGCAGCCCAACCACTCGCTAGGAAGCATTTAGCTTTTGCTCTGCATCCCACAGGAGCGCCGTTCCCATTCCCTTTACGCAGGCTCAGGGTGTGAGGAGCTGAGGGTTTGTGAAATGGACCTGGCTTAACTCCAGGCTGTGCTGGAGCCCAGCAGCCAACTGATCCCACAGGGAGGGGAATGTCTTCGAATCAGTTGCTGGCAAATGACATTTGCAGGCCCTGATCCCTCAAACGGCCGCCCCCAAACGTCGGAGCCTCAGACGAGCCCAGGACAAATTCTGGTCATTCCCCAGGTTTACACCAGCGTAGGAGGGCTGGAATTGAACCCAAATTCAACCCCTGGCTGAAGATTAGTCTCCAAGAAGAGAAATATTCAGATACAGAGGGAACGGGTCAGGACCTCTCCGTGGAATACAGCTCTCAGCATGCAAATGAAGCTGGTTTGGTAATTTGGAAATAAAGCTTCGGGTTTCTGAAAGCGAGTGGGATTTGATTTTCTTTCTTTTTTGTTAAGAGAAAAAGCAAAGCAGGAGAGGAACTGACACAGCCTGACCCACAGCTCTGCTTCAAATGGGTGCAGGGGATGGCACTGCTCAGAGCAGGACCCCAGGGACGAGAACAGGAGTAACCATGCAGCACTTCCAGCAAACCCTGAGCTCACACGTCCACCTCACCCAGTGCCCACAACACCCACAGAACATGGCACTGCTAAACAGCATCCCAACAGGACGAAGCAAACCGGACCTCTGCAAATTGCTATGACACGGGATGGAGACCTCACCCCCCCCCAACACATAGGGACAGGCAGACACCTCAGCCCTACAAAAGCTCCCACTGCTCAACCTCAGCAAAACGCTGCCACGCTTCAGCACTTCCCACAGGCACAACAAGCACAGTGGGTGCCCCTCATTTTGCTGCCATTTCCCTCCTTTCCTCTCCCTCAAGGTGCAACAAAACCCAGCCTGGGGCCGGGTGCCCCCAGCCCCCCCAGCAGCAGCACCGAGGCCGCTCCTCCCATTGAGCTGCTTTCTCTATCTCTGCAGCACCAACGCTTATCTTAAAAGCAAGACACGAGCTGTGAGCACCCTGAGGGTGCAGCCCACAACCGAGGAACCCAACAGAGTTATTCTCCTTTGAACGCAGCTCTCCCCTCTGCAGTTACACCTGCCAGCCCTGCTGTGGCACGACGTGCAGAACGCCATACGTCACCAAACACTGGGCACAAACCCTGGCCAAGCTCTGTGGGACTTCTCTTCCCCCTGAGCTGCACACATCCCCATATGGGGGAACTTTTAGGTCCTGTTTCTTTGAAAAACAGCGCTCAAAATGCAGCTGAAGGTTTCCAGGCTACAGAAAAGCAGAGAGAGGGGAACACGAGAGCCTGAGTCCCGCTGAAATCATGAGCTGGAGAGCTTGGATAAATTTCAAACTGAGATAGAATAACCTGCGGGAGCAAAAGTTTAATAGTCTGGGGTTGGGGAGAGGAAAAAAAAAAGGCTGATTGATCGGCTACTGAACTTACAGCTCTGCATCAGGTCCACATTCAGGGCTGCAGCAGCAGCCACCCAGCACTCTGCACCATCAGCACCGACACAGAGCTCGCTGCCTTACATTGCCCCCGAATTTCACATCTGAACAAGCACCTCTGAGTGCTCCCTGCGAGGAAACACCACGCTTGGAAGGGGAAAGTGAGGGTTGGGGGGGAGTTGGGGGGCGAGGGGAGGGACCAGGAGGGGCAGCAGTTTCGCTTTAACTTAAAAATAAACAAGTTGCAGCACATGTGCACGCACACAAACAGGGCACATCTGAAACCCATCATGTCCAATTTACAGGCTCACATTTCCTCCCCTTCCCAGCTCCCTACCCACAGCCCCGGGCCCTTTAAAGCCCCCCCCGGGCGCCTTCGCTCACCATACTGAAGTCCAGCAGGTCACTGAGCTCTTTGTCTGTCCCAACTGCAGCCATTCTCTGCTGCTGCTGATTCATACTCCCACAGACTCAACAGTGGCAGTCCTAGAGAAAGCAAGGGGGAGGGGAAAGAGATATTTTAATGACTGGAGCCAACCACCCACCCCATTGATGAATATTTAAAAAAGACAGAGAGAGAGAGAAAAGGGAAAGAAAACACAACTCCAATGCACGTTCCCAACACACAGAGGCTGCGGGCAGAGCCTTCACACAGCACCCAGCACAGGAACAAGAGCTCTATTGACCAGACACACTTGGATGTTGGTTTTTTGCTGCCAATTGCACTCGTTTGGGCCAATTCTGTTCTTGGCGTGCGGCGAATGAAGGGGGAAAAAAGAAGAAAAGGGGAGGAGGGGAGGGGGGGGAAAACAAGTGAACTCGTTTATCAAAGGGTTCAGGGTGAGTTATCACTCGGGTGCTTGTCTGGCTTGGCTCGCCTTGTGCTTCCCCCTCTTCTGGTGCTTCTCCTTGCCCAGTTATAAAAATGAGAAAGAAGGAAAAGCAAAACAACAAAAAACCCAAAGGTCTGAACTTCTGGCTGCTTCCCTGAGGCTGCTGAGCACCTGCAGCTGTGCTCACGGGGATGCCCTGAGCAGGGAGGAGCAAACCCCAGCCCCCCTCCCAAAAAGAGGAGAAAGAAAAGAAAAAGAAAAAGCAGTTTTCAGACAGCGTTGCAAAAACAGAACCCTTCGGGCATCCTGGTGAAACGGATAAATGTTCTTCTTCCAAATTTACAGGTTGTTTTTATTATTATTATTATTTTTGCCCCTAAAGGGGAGATTGATCCTTTTGGTGGAGTCGCTGCAATAGGAAAACATTTCCTTGGGAGGGAGGCAGGGGTCTGGGAGGAGATGGAAGATCCCTTTTTTTTTTT